ATGTTTCTATTTCATCGATGTTTCTATTTCTCTCTCCCTCTCCCTTCCTTTCTCTCTAAAAAATCAATTAAAAATTATTATATTCCCTATCTACCCTTTAAAAAATGTTTTTATTCTAGAGAGAGAGAGAGAGAGAGAGAGAGAGACAGAAATATCCATGAGAGAGAGAAACATTGATCGGCTGCCTCCTGCACCTTCCTTCCCTGCCCCCCACCATGGGCATGTGCCTGCAACCTGGGCATGTGCCTGATCGGGAATAGAACTGGTGACCTTTTAGTTCATAAGTCAATGATCAGGGATTGAGCCACATCAGCTGGACCCTTTCTACCCTTTTGATTTGTCTCTCAAAATGACTAGCCCATAATAAGCCCTCAGGTAAGTGGAATCTATTAATATAACCTGGGCTGGGAATGTGAGCCAAGTTTGGGACTGGTGTGGTAGACAGGTGGTAATGGCAGTGGAGGAAGACAGCTGAACTTGACCCTAGCCTTCGTAGGTTGGCCTGTAGTCATGGAGTAAAAGACAAAGTGGGAATGCCAGTTGACAGCCAGATCGACAGTGAGCCACGTCAAAGCAGTCTGGGGGCAAGACCAAAACCTGGGACACAGCAATAATTTGGCAGGAGAAGACTGACAGATGAACTGGCAAATTCAGGAGGAAAGATGTAAGTTAAAACCTGTGGAGATTCTGGAAAAAGGGACTGACTAGTGGGAAGAACCTAGCTGTTGACATGAGTGGCTTTCTCCTTCCTGTTAGTATTTCTCTATATAATCTGGTGTAAAAATCTCCTGACAGTCTTAGAATCCTCTTTACTCAAGTACTAAGGAGACTGGGAAGAGTGGAGTGGTTATGTGCCTTTACCCTGATGCATAAGATCAAATCCCAGCTCTGCTTACTAACTGGCCAATGACAATGGTGGATAAGTCACCTAACCTCTTAGTAGTTTAATTTCTTTATCAATGAAATACAGAAATACAGTGTTACTCCAAAGGTTTCTGAATCAACATAGCACAGTGATTAAAGAGCATGGACTCTGGAGTCAGAATGCTTGGTTTATGTCCTTAATCTTCCACTTATGTCTATGGGGTTCAGGCAAGTTACCAGATGTCTTGCTTCAGTTAATAATCTATAAAGTGTTCACACACAATTGTTGGCTACCTATGGTATAGTACAGTGGTTGGTAAACCTCAGATCGTGAGCCACATGTGGCTCTTTGGCCCCTTGAATGTTCTAAGGCCACTTCTTAAAATAGACTCGCCCAGGCCGAAAACCGACTTCTGCGCATGGGCCACAAAGTTTCAATCGCACTGTACGTGCGGGCCTGCATGTGGTATTTTGTGGAAGAGTTGCAGTCAAGGGGTCGAAGAGCCGCATGTGGTTCGAGAGCCACGGTTTGTTGATCGCTGGTATAGTACTATATAATAACATATGTTCACACAATTATAGGCTACGTATGGCATAATACTATATAATAACATATATATATATATATATATATATATATATATATATATATATATATATATATATGGCCTGGTGCCTGAAATTCATGCGGGGGGGGGGGGGGGGCGGGGGGCGAGGGGTGTCCCTCAGCCCGACCTGCACCCTTTACAATCTGGGACTGCTGGCTCCTAACTGCTAGCCTTAGTGCCTGCTTGATCTCCCCTAACCACCTCTGCTTGCCTGTCTGATTGCCCCTAACTGCTCTCCTGCTGGCCTGATCACCCCCACTGCCTCTGCCTTGCCCTGCACCTGGGACCTGGGCTTCCTTCCCTCTGGCTAGCCATAGGCACCAAGGACCAGGGCCAGCTTTGCTTGGGCCGGCCACAGCCACCGGGGACCATCGGCAGGCGGCTTCACCTGGGCTGCAGCCACAGGTGCCCAAGATTGCAGGGCAGGCAGCTTGTCCCTCTCCTGGGCCGAAGTGCAGCTGCTGTCACCTGGGACCATGGAGACCGTGGGGGAGTGGCTTGTCCCTCTCCTGGGTCAGGCTTCAGGCACAGACGCAGCTGCTGGTATCTGGGACTGTGGGGAAGGCAGCTTGTCCCTATCCCGGGCTGCAGCCTGGCTGGTTCCCATCTCTCTCTCCCCAGTGTTGAGTGAGCCATTAGGCATGCATGATGACCATTTGCATATTAGCTCTTTATTATATAGTAGGTCCTCGGTTACGTGGGAGATCCATTCCTACTATGACACTCACATGGAGCATATACACAGCAGTAATGAAATGAAGCAGTAAAAAAATTTAAAAGAAAGATAACTTTCTGACCTTTACTTGTGGTAAATAAATAATAAAAAACATAAAGCATATACATATATACATACATACATACGTCAAAATGACAGAACTTTTTTTTTATAAATAAATGGGAGATAGCGAAGTAACCACAAAATGACGTATGTCTCAGTCCAAGGTAACCCAAGGACTGCCTGTAAAAAATTTGGAGACAAAGAGAGAGAGAGAGAGAGAGAGAGAGAGAGAGAGAGAGAGAGGGAGGGAAACTGGCTCGTCTGTAGCATAGCAAACACTCAATAAATGTTAATTATAAACTTTACTGCCCTTATTAGAAGACCAAACTTAGAAGACTTTCACAAGTGGGATCCTCTTTACCCACCCCACCTTGATGAGCTAGACTTGAGCAGGATAAACTCAATATTCAGTTCTTTTATTCAATTGGAGCAGAAAGAAAGTTGCACTTTTCCTGACAGTTAACTTTGCGCAGAGGAAAGACACACCCAAAGGCATCTGATCTCCAGACATGCCTACTAACCCCAAGGCAAGAAGGAATTCTACTCATGGTTGTGGTTAGAAAGGTGAGATGAAGGGAGGGAAAGGTGAGACACAGCTCTATTCATCCCTCTACATGATGTACAAACCAGAGCAAAGATACCATCATTCTATCATTATATTTGAAGGAAAGAACATAATGGATTGTTACTTAGCACCTCCATCATAAACTCTTATGCAGGAGCGATTTGTAAATAGTCTGTTGCTCATGAAGCATAAGGAGGCATGACAGGTAAACACAAAGAATGTTGATTTCTTTCCTCCAGTTCTTTTTGGAACTCCTCGGGGACTTGTTTGTTTGAGAGAGCAGGCATGTAAAATAAATGCTGCTGCCTCTTTTCAATAACAGTTAAGTATTTATAGGTTAATAACCATGTGGGCTAGTGAAATGTGGAGATAAAATGATTCTTTCACTTGTAAGAACAGACTATGATCACAAATAATGACATGTTAGTTCTTTATCCATATCCATTTATTCCCTCAACCATTTGGCTTCTTGAGTATTTAATGATTGCCTTCAGGCAGAAAGGAGCTAGGTATACTCAGGACTGAAGTCTTGTTTCTTTTCCTGTTATTTTCAGCTTTCTTTTTGAATCTTGGCATATCCAAGTCACTAGCCTTTCTTCTGTATATCCAGAGAAGCTTCACAGAGACAAAGAGAGAAATAACCATCCACTTATTTGTTCATCAGTGACTCACTCAGTCATTCAATGATATTTTATCTCCATGTCTGGACTCCATACCTAGCTGTGTAGAGGCCATGATGAAAAGATGAAGCCACTATATTCAAACATTCTATTGTTCTCACCAAATACAACAGAAATATGCCTAAAATTATTATGAAAAGTGACCAAGAGGTGATAGCTAGAAGAACTGGGTTTACTTTTTGAAGTAGGATCAGTGTCCTATCTGAACTGTGGTTGGGATGGTCGGTCATTTAAAAAATGCCAGTGAGCCGAAACTGGTTTGGCTCAGTGGATAGAGCATTAGTCTGCGGACTGAAAGGTCCCAGGTTCGATTCCAGTTAAGGGCATGTACCTTTGTTGCGGGCACATCCCCAGTAGGGGGTGTGCAAGAGGCAGCTAATCGATGTTTCTAATTCTCTATCCCTCTCCCTTCTTCTCTGTAAAAAATCAATAAAATATATTTTTTAAAAATGCTGGTGAGTTGCCGAAGCCGGTTTGGCTCAGTGGATAGAGTATCGGCCTGCGGACTGAAGGGTCCCGGGTTCGATCCCAGTCGGGGGCATGTACCTTGGTTGCGGGCACATCCCCAGTGGGGGGCGTGCAAGAAGCAGCTGACCGATGACTCTCATCGATGTTTCTAACTCTCTATCCCTCTCCCTTCCTCTCTGTAAAAAGTCAATAAAATATATATTAAAAAAAATGCTGGTGAGTTATATTAAATTACATTTCAAAGGTATAATTTGAGGTACAGTAGGGTATGTGACCTATATCCCTGGTGATGTAAGAGAAAATTTGGTATAGTATTAGAGATAGTTGTAGGTGGTACATGTGTGGTAGGTAGTTAGACGGATGTGAGCAGAGCAAGGACGATGGGCCAGGTATAGAAGGTCACCAGGGTGGAAAGCTGTAGAGAGCTGCCTGAGAAGGCACATGGACATTCTCTTAATTCTTATCAGCTGAGTCCGAGGGCACTGGCAGAATCCTGTAATCAGTACCGATTTCTTATCTTTATCCATGTGCTTGGAATGAGGAACAAATAGGACTTTGACTCACCCAGGTCTTGATATGCTAAATCTTATACCAAAAAATAAGGAACTTCCCCAGATTTTGATGAATGGGATCTGGGCACACCAAAACTCCTTTTGACCTTAAACTCCCAGTTGGAAGCCAATAAATATGCTGTGTTGTCTGTGGTGAGTGTGACTGTCTCTCCATCAGAGAGATGGCACCCACCTAGCTCCCAGCTTTATGAATCTATTTCTGCCTCTTGTCTCTTTCTTTCTCTAATGTTTTAATCCCCAGCTCCTCCCCTCAGGAACCTGTCTTTTTTTTCTGGGTGGGATGCGGAAAAAGGAGAAACACCACAGAAAGCCTCAGGGGCCTAGCAAGGGACAATCAATACTAGGGTGACTTTCCCCACCCTAGCATATTGCTGGTCATGACCTTTCCTCCCTAGAGATAACACCGGTGCCTCTACGTATTTCAGCTCTAGGCCAGGATAATTAATAAAATCAGCGTTGGCTGACATCAGATTCAGCTGCATTGAATAGTGACCCCTACCCTGGTGCTGGCCAATCAATCAATGGAGACCACAACCCTGAAAGGACACACCTGGAAAACTGCAGAATATTCTAGGATAGGGGTGTCGAACTCAATCAGAGAAGGGGCCAAAATCTAAAATCCAGCCTAAATCGTGGGCCGAACGGTTTACTGAACAGTCATAAACTCATTGTGATGGAAATGCAGCGGAGTGTAGTGATGACAGCGCGGTGCGGGCCACATTGCAAGGCCTGGCGGGACGGATTTGGCCCGCGGGCCTTGTGTTTGACACATGTGTTCTAGGAAGACCTTCTCCTGGGACCTCACCTAAAATCTCCACCCTTAAAATCTTGAGGCTGGAGGACCCAGTGTGCTCTCCTTCCTAGGAATATGTCCCTGCCTTCCCTTCCCTACTCCTCCCACCTCCCCTGCCTCCTCTGTGGCCCCGGTCACCTTACCATTGCCTTCCTCCCAAGCTCCAAAGGCCCATCTCTTCTACCTCTGTGATTTACCAAATAAATGTTCTGATACAGTTTGGATCTTGGCTCTGAATTCTTTCCTAGCCAGAACCCAAGTACCAACTTGGCCGAACCCAGTTATTTTCTGACCCCACTGGTCAGACACCTGGCGCTGTTCCCACTGCCTACAGCACTTGGATCTGGCTTTGGATAATATTAAACTGAATATTTAAAAGATGTTCCATTTCTAATTTCATTTTGAGTTACACAGTCACAGATAAACAAAGTCTCATTTAGATGCTATATGTCTTAAATACCTCTCTAACACTTGGTAAACAACCCACTTCCTTTATGTTTTAAATAAATTTTAAACTCAAACTCAATGGGTAGTCGGTCAATAGAGTCCAGTGGAATATGGTCCCCTATTTTATTTTTCTTGTGTCCATTTTAGTTTATCCTTTTATTTATGGTTTGTGAGTTATATATAGTTTCTTTTTCAAATAAATTATTTAAGCAAATTGAGTCGATCTAAAGAAACAGGATAAGCAGATCAGAGCCGAGGTGAAGTAAGGTCATGGCAAGATTATGAAGGTAGAATAGAAATGGCTGAAGTTTAACCAACAAGAGTGCTATGCTTGAAAGGAGAAAATCTGGGATTGAGTCCCTGCTCCACCACCTGCTAGCTGTGACCTGGGGCAGTTTACCTAACCTTTTCGAACCTTTCCCATCTATAAAATAGGAGCAAGAACATTACCTTCTTTGCAAGCTTGTGAGAACTGACGAAGGAAAGTGTCAATGTAGTGATGTTGCAGAGAGGCTATACCACTTAATGTGAAGTGTGTTGGGAGGAGGAGGGAGACTTCCAACATTAGCAGAATACTTATTACAGGTAAAGTGCAGGAGAGGATAATGAATAAAACTTGGCCGCCACCCTTAGAGTTTAGTTTTTCTACAGGGGAGACAAACACAGAGATGTACATTATTTTGCAGACTGTGATAAATTGTAAATGGGAATAAAACTATAGGCAAAGGAAATGGGATACATTGATTGCATGAGTATATGTGATAAGAATAGCTGCCATTCCTAAGGTCAGGGAGCCTGCTAGGTTCTTTGTCACATTAGCTCATTTGTTCCTAACAGTTTGGGAACTGAGATTGGAGAGGCTAAATAATTGTCCCATTTTTAATAATGGTGATAATATTTGTGGTGGAATACTTACCACTGTGGTACATCTTTTATGTGCATTATCTCATTTCAGCCTCATCCCCAGTCTATGGGATAAGTCTGTCTCCCTTGTACAGAAAAACAAACTAAGGATCGCAGAGCTCAAGAGGATTGCAAATTTAGTAAATGGTGCTGTTGCAGTCTAATCCCAGGGGTGTTTCACTCCAAAACCCATTTCGTCTGATTCTCCTGCTTCCAGTCAGCAGCTGAGTTTTGGGGCCTGATGTGACTATGCACAGGGAAGGTCCTTTGAGTGCTCTATTGTTAAATGCTAGGTTCCATTCCGGGCTGAGTTTCTCTACTGAGTTGACCTATGTCACTACTCCTCTTTCTGTTTCACAATATAATCTCCTGAAGTACAAAGTCCTAGGACCATATGAGTGGCAAACACCGCTCCACTATAAGGTGATGTTGGTAAGACATTTCAAAGGCAGGGAAAAGAACTGAGTGATGACAGGTTAAGGTTTTGGGGGAGGCTAGAAGCTGTATTTTCTGTAGGAACTCACAGAATTAATTTTTGATAGATACAAAGGGCCTAACATCCCACAACAGGCAGAGGAATCAAGAGACCACACGTCTCCCATGTTTCTCAATGCTTATTTCACTAGAGCAGTGGTTTTTAAAGTGTGGTCTTCAGAATCACCAGCTGCAGCATTACCTGGGAACTTATTAGAAATGTCCACCTTCGACCCACAGAATCAGGAACTGGGATGGCACTCAACAATCTGTTTTAATAAGCCCACGGAGTGATTGAGACAGGCTCAGGTTTGCAAACCAGCACATAGTATCTACTATAGATGATAAGGCACATGGCAGGAGAAGAGGGAAGATGTAACCCACTCTCCTCCCTGCCTCAGCTCCTCTTTGTTCCAGGTGAAGGGGCTCAGCTGAGGTCTACAGCAGCTTTGATACGTTAGAGAGAATTAATGCTGCCCTGGACTGGTCGTTCTTGTGTGCTCCCAGGTAGCCAGGCGCTAGGTGCCGCCTGGCTGTAGGTATGTGTGGAGAATAAGGGCTGCCAGGGGCAGGAAGAATAGGTGCTAGGCTCTTCCCCCACCCCAATCTCCCAATAGCCAGCTCTCCAGGAACCTATAGGAGGCTCCTCTCTACACTCCCTCCCCATCTGTGCGCCATGGTTGGTGGCTCAGAACCTTGCAATAGAGTCTCAAAGGCAGGAAGCCTGTGGAAGCAGGGAGGGACGAGAAGGGGAGCTGGTGGAATGCAAATGTATATAGAAGGCACCTGTTTTTCTCTGCCGGCTATTTTTACTTTATCCTGAAGGGACCATAATACCAGCGGTGGGGAAATAATAGAAATTCATTTGCACTTTAGCAATATCTCTGGCAGCTGTGAGGATGGATTGACAGAAGCCAGAGACCAATGGGCAGGCCGTTAGCACACTAGTCCCAGCGGGCAATGAAGGCTGTGTGGGGTGGGAGCTGATTTAAGATGCTATGGATCTGGATAGGCATGGGGAGGAGCGGAGAAGAGGGAGAAGATAGCACCCATTTGGACTTGATTAGTTGTAAGTATAGTGTCAATAGCTGGGCCCTGAAGTCCTGGAATCAGATTCCAATAGGATCCTGAGCGCAGGTGAGTGCTGGCCCCACCTCTTTCCTCCTGCCCCGAAGCCTTTGGCTTTGGAATCAGGCAGACGAGGGTTCAAAACACCCGCCGGAATGTGGCTTCCAGGAGAGCGAAATTCCGTCTCTGGTTTCAGCCTGTGTCTGGCACACAGTAGGCGCTCCATAAACGTTTGTTGAATGAATCCACGAATGAAAAATGAACGGCCACACGCCAGGCCTCCTTTCCCTCACCTGTGCATACCTGACCAGGCAAGGTCCTTGCCTAAGGAAAGCACCTGGCCCCACCTCGACGCATCGTCGGCCGCTCAACAAGTTGTGTTATTTCCCCTCCACAGTAGGTCGCGCGCCTGGACGACCCCAAGAGCGCTTTCTGTCTCTCGTGTCTTCCCACCTCCCTTCGCCCCTGAAGCCCCTCCTGGGTCTTGGGGAGCACGTGGGCCGGGAAGGCGGGGTGGCGGCGCTGTGGGCAGGGGAGCGAAGCCGGGCTCCCGGGCTTACGTGAGGCGCGGGCCCTGCGCGGACGCCGGGACCGGAGTGGGGGCGGCGGGCGGAGGCAGCCCCGCCCGGTGGGCTCCGGGCTGCGAGCGGTGGGGGCGCCGCGTCCCGGCCGTGGTGTGTGTCTCTGTGGCTGCTCCGGGCGGAGAGGCGCCGGCTCCGGCTCCGCGCGGCGGGGAGCGCATCCGTCCACCCGCGGCGGAGGCGGGCGCAGCGGCCACCGCGACTCCCGGGGATGTGACAGCCGCGGGGAGGGCTGGGGCGCCGGCTGAACGCCGCCCACGTGCGAGGACCCGGGCAAGGGGCTCAGCGCCCAGGCCGCCCGGTACGAGGGGCGACGGGGGAGAGGATGTGGGACTGGCTGGAGGGGGCCGGGCTGCCTGGCCCCTAACTCGGATGCGGGGTGGGGAGCGAGATGGAGGGATCGAGGTGGGGCTGCTCCGGCCCACCTCGGAGCCCCCAAGGCTGAGGGATGGTGCCTGGGGCGGGGACCGGGGACTTCTCCCGGCTCCCGGCTTGGGGCGCGGAGGGCGGGGAGGTGCGGCGTGGCGCCTCACTCCGCCTTCCAGCCGCCCCGCCGCGGGCTGGAGGGAGGGGCTGCCTTATAACTCTCCTTCCCCGCAGGGCGGCCGCCCAGTCCCCCGCGAGCGGAGCCGAGCGTGTCCGGAGCCGCCGGCGCAGGAGAAGCAAAGTTCCCGGTGCGTCCCCGAGGCCGCCGTCCGGCCTGCGCGCGGCTGTCCGCTCCCCGCGGAGGCGATGGCTTCCAAACTCCTGCGCGCCGTCATCCTCGGGCCGCCCGGCTCCGGCAAGGGCACCGTGTGCCAGCGCATCGCCCAGAACTTCGGCCTGCAGCATCTCTCCAGCGGCCGCTTCTTGCGGGAGAACATCAAAGCCAAAACCGGTGAGGGAGGGAGGGAGGGAGGTTCGGGGGACAAGGGGCTGGGTTGAGCCCAAGCGGGGTAGGCTTAGGCCGGGGAGGCTACACGGCTGATCGGAGGGGGGTTGGGGCTCCCCGGGCCCCGGGCGCCCTACCCCCGCCCGCGTGTGGTCGCGCAGCCTCCTACGTGCCGGGCCGCATGCAGCCGGTGGCCCGCGGCGGTGCGCCCGGGGAGAAGGCCGGCGCCCGCGGGGAGGCGGGTGGGCGGCGCGCGCCGCTGCTCCGCGCCCGGGCTCCTCCCGCCTTGGGGAGAAGCCGGGAACCACCGAGCTGTGGGAGCCGACAACGCCAAGCTCCTTCTCTGGCCCCGATCCCTTAAGGCAAAGCCGACCCCACTCCCCGGCGCCTCGCGTGGACCCGGGAGCCCACTCCGCTGGCCCGGGCCCCCGCGCCCCGCCGCGCGCCGCCCACCTGTGGGAGTCCGCCGTGCGCGCTGGGAACCTGTGGCGCCGCGGTGCCCGGAGCCGCGCGCTGTGCCAGCCCCTCCGTGTGGCCTCAGGTCTCCGGGCAGAGCCCAGGGTGGCTCTGAAAGGCCTGTCTGTTCCGTGGCCATTTGCTAAGGTAAATTCTCACCACAAGCTCCCCCCCTTCTCCAAGCCTGGGCCTGGCCGCGAGGAGACTAGATCTGATACATTGCATATTGAATCCAAGCCTGGGCCTGGCCATGAGAAGACTAGATCTGATACATTACACATTGAATCCAGTTTGCAAAGAGCTGGCTTTTCTGAGAATGCCTCCCGTGGCTAGCGTGATGATTTGGGGGATAAAGATCGCCTGATCTCCCAGGCTTTCAGGACAGCCCTCCTCCTTTTCTTTCCACCCCACCTTCACACGAGTTAATTAACTGGCATTGAAAGGCGAGAGGTAGCTGTTGTGCTGCCAGCGAGGTATGTAACCCTCCTGGGATGCAGATGCTTATAATTAGCAACTTCTTTATGAAAAGTTATTGCAAATGGGATACTTGACAATCGCTTCTCTTCCCCAATGTCCAAGGTGGTTATTATCCAGGGGTCTTTTTTATTTTGTTTTATTGATTTCAGAGAAAAAGGGAGAGGGAGATAGAAACATCAGTGATGAGAATTATTCATTGATCAGCTGTCAACTGCACGCCCCCTACTGGGGATCGAGCCCTCAACCTGGGCTTGTACCCTTGACCAGAAGTGAAGCCGGGACCCTTCAGCCCGCAGGGTCTACCCACTGAGCAAAACATTATCCAGGGATCTTGATTACCGAAGCATATAGTAGTTTGCAAAGTTAGGAATTAACCTATCTCAAAGACAGAGTTTATTATATCAAGCTGGTAGTATTTTCAAGAATACTCCCGTTCCCTCCCCGCCAACCTCCCCTCCCCTATCCATCCCTTGAAAGGAAGAGCCCTGGTTACACCTGAAATTTTCTCAGGGAGGTATAGTTACTTAAATTAGGTCTATTTTAATTTTAATACCACATTCAAATGCATCCTATTTCAGAGTTTGGGGTAGTTCTTTCTGTTTTGGGGGAGAGGAGTGTGAGAGGGAAGGCTGGCTTTCAAGGGTTTTGTGATGAGGTCCCTTGTCCATGGTAGGTAGATGAAGGCATAGTGAGGGGAGGAAATGCTAGAGTGGGACTGAGCCCATTTCTTAGCTTTCTCTATATCTGACATTGACTATAATAGTTTCCTTCTGGCATGAAGCACTTCACACCTTTCCTCCTGGGGCTGGTTTATAGGCTTTTTTCCTAACCCTTTTCTTATTTATTTATTTATAAAATGTTTTCAGTAATTTTTTATTTTTTTATTTATATATTTTATTGACTTTTTACAGAGAGGAAGGGAGAGGGATAGATAGCTAGAAACATCAATGAGAGAGAATCATCGACCAGCTGCCTCCTGCACACCCCCTACGGGGGTGTGCCCGCAACCAATGTACATGCCCTCGACCGGAATCGAACCTGGGACCCTTCAGTCTGCAGACCGATGCTCTATCCACTGAGCCAAACCGGTTTCGGCTGTTTTCAGTAATTTTTTAGAGAGGAAGGGAGAGGGTAAGAGAGACATCAGTTGGCTGCCTCCCCTTCCCCCCACACCAAGAATCAATCCGGTGACCTATTGGTGCACGGGCTAGTGCTGAACCAACTGAGACACACCAGCCAGGGCTCTTTCCATTTTTAAAGAAAATGTGATGGGAAAGGGCACATTTCTTTTTTTTTTTTTTTTTTTTTTTTTTTTTTAATAAGTTTTTATTGTTCATATTATTACAAATGTTCCTTTTTCCCCCCCCCCCCACCATTGCTCTCCTCCACCAGGTTCCCACCCCACCCTCTGCCCTTTCCCCTCTCCCCATTGTCCTCATCCATAGGTGCACAGTTTATGTTCAGTCTCTTCCCACGCCCCCCTCTCCCCTTTTCCCCAAGAATCGTCAGTTCACTCCCCTTCCATACCTCTGATTCTATTATATTCAACAGTTAATATTGTTCATCAGATTTTTTTTTAATTTCCTTGGTTTTTAGATTCACTTGTTGATAGTTACGTATTTGTTGTTCATAATTTTTATCTTTGTTTACCTTCTCTTCTGAAAGAACCCCCTTCAGCAATTCATATAATTCTGGTTTGGCGGTGATGAACTCCATTAGCTTTTTTTTATTAGTGAAGCTCTTTATCTGGCCTTCGATTCTGAGTGATAGCTTTGCTGGGTAGATTATTTTTGGCTGTAGGTTCTCACTATTCATCACCTTGAATATTTCTTGCCATTCCCTTCTGGCCTGCATGGTTTCTGTTGAGAAGTCAGCTGACAATCGTATAGGTGCTCCTTTATAGGTTACTACCTTCTTTGCTCTTGCTTCTTTTAATATTCTCTCTTTGTCTTTTGCTCTTGGAATTTTAATAATGATGTGTCTCGGTGTGGTCCTCTTTGGATTCCTTTTGTTTGGAGTTCTGTGCACTTCCTGGACTTGTAAGTCTAATTCTTTCACCAGATGGGGGAAGTTTTCTATCACTATTTCTTTCAGTATGTTTTCGATATCTTGCTCTCTCTCATCTTCTGGGACCCCCATAATTCTGATGTTGGTTCGCTTGAAGTTGTCCCAGAGGTTTCTTACATTATCTTCAATTTTCTGGATTCTCTTGCCTTCTAGCTTCTGTGGAGGAGTGTCTTCTGGCTCTTTATGTTCCAAATCTTTGACTTGAATCTTGCGATCTTCCCTTCTGTTTTTAGGACTCTGTAAAATATTTTTTATTTCAGACAATGTATTCTTTATTTCTTGTTGACTCCTTATTAATTCTAGTTGATCTCTTTTCATATCCTCATAGGCCTTATCCATCTTTTCTAGGAAATTCTTGAAAAACCTTGTAAGCGTAGATTTGAACTCTATATCCAGACGCTTTTTGTCCTCCATTTCTTTCATTTGTGATCTCTTTTGTTGTCTCATTTCGCAGTTACAGATGGGACGGGGTTTCAGGGTGGAGCCTGCAGCTTTGGCTTCTGTCAGCCCCGCCCTATGCGGGTCCTTCAGTGCTCGCTGCCGGCGCCTCTGAGAGAAAGGTGCCCTCGATTTTCGCCTGCTGCCAAACAGTCTATGCTCTCCCCCAATGAGCCCGGAACTGGGGTTCAGTTCAGTTGGAAGTGGAGTTGGAGGTGGCGTTCAGAGCAGTCTGGAGCCCCAGTCTCCTTCCCGTCAGGGCAATCCCGTGGCACAGCCGACCGTCCCTTCTCTGTGCGCAGTGTGCACACCGCTGGGACCTCCTTTCGCCACTTCCCCGGGGTTCTGCCTTACAGCCCGGCTCCCTATGGATGAGCCTGAGTCCCCGGGGTCTGGCTTAAAACTGGGGATCAGAGCAGTCGGGGGCCCAGCACAGTCGGAGTTTTATCTCCTTTCCGCTAGGGAACGCCCGCCAGGCACTCGGCCTCCCTCCTCTCCGGCTCTGTCCTCTCTGCGCGCCGCGTCTCCGCGTCTCCGTACCTTGGCTTTTCCAGCTCCTCCGCACCTCCTTCTGGTTTTCTCCTTGCTTCTCGCTGTAGAATTTCCAGTCAGTCAACCTTCCTGTAGTTCTGGGCAATGTCCTTTTTATATTTTAGTTGTATTTTATTGAAATTGTTGTGTGCGGCTGCGGCTAGGTGTTCACCTGGGCGCAGCCATCTTGGATCTTTTTTTTTGAAAGGGCACATTTCTGCTCTTAGAGGTTTTGAAAAATTTCCACTTGCTCTTTTCCTTATTCTCATTTGCTTCTTCATCTAACTTTCCTTTTCTCTGAATTTTAAATTTCAGTTGTTATTCTCTTTCAAATACTTTTCCCTCCCCCGTTTCTCCTTGGAATAAGAAGTGACTATGAAATGTTTAGATTACCTTTCCTTTTTTTTCTCTTGGGAATCAAATAATTTTTGCATGAACCCTTTTAGAGAAGAAAAATAAAGGACAGCAATTTGTAAAGTGGCTTATTTCTAGTAGATTTGGACACTGTTTTTGGATTATATTTCTCAGAAGGTCTAAGAGTCTTACTGCCTAGTAAATAAAACATTCCACAGTATTTATTTTTTTGTTACCTGCTGTTTTCTTTTAGCTCATTTCCTGGTAGAGAAGCACAACAACCCCTGAGTATGTACCCCCTTTATAGTTGAATGTTTGAAGGAGATGATGAAACAACAAAACCCCAGGAAATCAAACCTTGGGAGGAATTTGAATTGGAAAGGAGCTTGGCCATCTGCTCCGGCTTCCATTAGGGCACATCCCTGTCCACATGGCTCTCTGGCAGCCTCTGCCTGGTGAAAAGCTGCTCCTTCAGGGAAGAGCTGCTCTTTGCTTCTGGGAAACCTTCCTTCCTCCACCTACCCTGGCAGAATTGGCCTCTTTTCTGCACATATCTTGGTTCGGTTGCTGAGGTCACAGTTATAACAAAGTGCAACCTGTGCCAGTGTTTCATCCTATAGATACTTACTGAATACCTGCTATGTGTCAAACAGTGGTCTAGTGTTACCGGGGAGAAGAGGAGA